TAGTTATTAAGGTAAAAAGTGGCGCTTGGACACAGTGTGCATGAAGACGCTGCCGGTGTTCATTGAATAGGGGTAACGTAAACCCGCTACTATCGTGTTCTCGCGAATAAACCAGTCAATCCAACCGCCAGAAGGAGAAGCAGCTTATTGTTCACGGTAGTGTGGTTCACGTATTGGGGGTAGTTTGCGAAGCAGTATGGAGGCCAATAAGGTGGAGCAAACCGAAATGAAACGAAATCATCGATGGTTGGTAAAAGAAGCACGAGTGTCTTTCTTGAAAATCGGGACAATAACTGATTCATCCCAAGTGACTTTCAATAACAAGAATGTCAGCTACGCCGCCGTAACTGAGCAGTTCCGGGGGAAGTTCGTCTGAGCGAGTAGCCTTGAATCGCTTCAATGGCCGAATCTCAAGGCAGACTTCCAATACACTTGGTGGATCCTTGGGACGAGCCAGCGCAGGTAACATCGTGTAATGCGCACAGAGATGGACAGTGGAGGCCAGTTGAATTGTGAATAAACGCCCTTGGCCTGGCTGTCTAAAGGCCTCCACCCGTTGATGATCGGAGACCCCTTTCGTCCGGCAAATAACCTCATCGAAACCAGCCTTCCTGAGACCATTGGACACAATGAGAATGGCCCTTTAACATTGTGCGACGGTTTGCGTACATCTTCAACCCATTGAGCTACCCTGAGTGGTGCCCCGGGGCTCATTAACAGCATATCCTATCAGGTTGGTCAATGGAGAGGTCAGAGAAACCGTCTCTTGATCCTCCACGTTGGGGGTTTGAAATAAGATTGCGTTCGTTTCTGCAAAACCAAGTCACTGTCATCCCCCCACCACCCTGCGAATAGGCCATTGGCTAAGGACTCTAATCGTCCTCCTGTCTAGGTCTGGGCGTCCTGGTGGTACCTCAACCCACGTACAACCATGACTATTTCTTCAAAATTCAATCACATCTTGCATCTGAAAACGCGCAGCTTATCAAGAGTCGTCTTATCCGCAGCATTCAGCACGACGAATAAGCGAAAACATGTCACTGCAGGCGCCTCCCTTCTTGCTTTTCAATCTGTTTCTTTTAATCCCCACCCAGTCCCCCTTACTAGCTTTCCTCTTATTTCCCAGCTTAATTGAGAGCAGCCACCATGACACTGGGGTTCCACCATCTGCAGTTAGTCTAGCGGACCACCCATGAAATCCAATTGAAAACAGCTTCTCATAAAGCCACGTTGTCCATTTCCTAGACAACGTTCAACAATCGCACTCTAAGACAAATAGGTCATCAGAATGCATTCACACGTACGTTGGACACACTGGAAATTGCCGCGTGTTGCGTGTCCGAAACTAGGATCAATGACCCCTACGGGGTTGTTTAACTGCGGTGGGATTGTCCTCTCGCTATTAGTTGCGCGCATCCAGAGACGCTGATGCGACTATCACCGGTCAAGCTGAGGTAGGCATTATCCTCAGCACCAAACCTCAGTCATCGTCGGTAAACTGGATTCCCGTAAGCAAACATATGTGCGCAGCTTGTTTGATGACATCAAGGAAGTAGTGCCAGACTCTTGTTGTTTGTGGTGTCATTTATGCTGCCGACTGCAGTTCTGATGCTGCCAAGGACACATTCTACTATGAACTGAACACAGTACTACGTAGTGCTACCAGCTCAGATATCATAGTTCTTGCAGAAAATGTGAATGCACAAGTAGATCGTCTGAGCTCAGCAAGATGGTGAGTATGTACTTAACTCCGACCGTACGAACAATGGGTCTGTTACAGCTGTGTGCATAGCACCGCTCTTAGACACATTGGGCGCCGAAGTGCCACTTGGCGTCCTCCTGTAGCTGGCCAGTGACGGACCCAAATTGATCATGGAGTGGTTCCATACTGGACTGTCGCTCGTTCTGGAATACCTACGTCGACTCTGATCATGCCTTGGTACGATGTCGTTTCTCCATGAACTTAACCGTGAGGCGTACCAAGCGCCTCCCGCGATTTGCAACTGAGTTATCTCAGCCCTCGTTCAAGCAAACTTACAGGATGCCATGTGTACGGGAATTCGTCCTAATAACACTGAGCTACAGTGGAATAGAATCTCGGTTGTTATGCACGATGCGGAAGCCTTTTCACGCGACACTATCAACAATCACCGCACCAGTCACTGGATATCCGAGAGGTCGGTGTGGCTGTTGGAATCCAGAAGAAACCTCCCGGCTGGCTCTGAGCACAATGTGACCAGACGGACTGTTAGGCGCGAACTAATGCGGAGCCTGTGTGTTGACAAGGAAGCCTGGTATACCAGTCGTGCTCAAGAAATGTAGGAAGCTGAAGCATTAGGCAATTATCGCAAGCTCTTCCAGCTGATCCGTACCAGAAAACCAGGGGTCAGTGAAACAATAAGAGACAGCGCGAGTGTCCTAATTCACAACAAGGAGCACCATATGTCTCGTTGGGCGGAGTACTCTTGACAGCAGTTCAGTTGGCACCAGTCTAGAGGCCCTTTCCTATTTAAGTGGTGCAGGCTGAGCTGTGCCCGGTTAGTTTAGAGACTCCGTCTGAGGCTGAGGTCGAAAGGCGATCGCCGTCCTTAATCGTTTTTGTGATGTTGGTCCGGATTCAACCTCGCCTGCACTATTTACGGATGGAGATTAGGTCTTCTGCAAAGCACTGACCTCCCTGTTCGAACATGTCTGGAAGAAAGAGAGCATCCCGGCTAACTGGAGTGAATCGATTATGGTGGCAATATACAAGAAGAGCAGTCGCACCGAATGTGCTAACCATAGGAGGATAAGCCTAACGCTGGTGGTGACAAAATGACCGACCTAAATTCTCGTTTGTTGCCTCACTGAGGAACGCGAACTTCGGATTAGGGAAGACTACGCAAGTTTCCACCAGGACGGGGTAGTAAAGACCATTTATTGACTCTGCGACAGGTGCTAGAGCAGCGCCGCACGTGCCGCAGACCGAAAATAGGTGTTTCCTGATGCCAAGAGTGCATCCGACTCAGTTGATCGGTGAATTCTGTTCGAAATACTTGTGCGGAAAGGTGTTCCCACGAAATATGTTCACATATTTCGTGCCCTGTGCTCAAACACCAAACGCCTCGTCAGGGTCTTCGGTGACATGTCAGATATCTTTTTGATAATAAGAGGGTTTGTTAGGGTTGCCCCATATCCCCATTATTGTTCTTTTTCGTCACGGATACTATCATGGAGTGTTCCTTTGCGTAATCTCACGACACACGCGTTTAAATGCTGTCTCATGTAAGGCTAGCTGATCATAGTTATGCAGACGATATTGTCCTGCTGTTTAACGACGTTGTGGCGATCCGATCAACCATGAATAGCCTTCTAGAGTGGTTCCATCATTTGGCACGCGCTTCGCACCCTCAAAGTGCAGTGTTGTTGCAAGACCACCAGGCATTTGATGACCCTTTGATCTTTGATAGCGAGGAACTCGAGGTAGTTGATCAATTCACTAACATTGGCAGCTGCATCAGCAACGATGGACGTATAAGCACCGAAGTCAGTTCACGTACTGCAAAAGACAGAACCACCTTGTTAGATCTGAGACATCTTTGGCGACAGAAGAGGGTTTACCTCCGTCTGCAAGGCCGCTTTTGCAAGCCTATAGTGACGGCCGTCCTACTGTATGAGAGTGAGACTTGCGTATTTCCGTCTGTGGATCCGTGGCACCTTCAAAACTTTCATCATGGTCGCCTGAGAAGCATTGCTGGAGTCGGATGGCATCATCGTGTTCGCAACGATGATGTGCGTAGGTGAATAGTAGGTAGTGGTAAACATGCTGATTCCTTAGAAGAAAAGATGGCACTAAATAAATTGCGTTGGTTTGCTTACGTACTACGTATGCCTGGTCACCGCTTACCTAGGAGGACCTTGTTCAATCTGTCAGCTCTAGGGTGGCGCAAGGCTTGAGGTGGACAGAAGTTGAGTTGACAGCGGAAAATGAAGTCACTGACTACGAAACTGGGTGCTGTTGGGCCGTCTTGCCTATCAGTTTGGAGTCCACGTGATCCGCTTTGTGCTTCGCTCGAGAATTTACAGGACATGGCTCGCAGTCTGCACCAGCTGCGCGTCTGCTGTCGTTGCGTAGTCGAACTGCCTGTTTAGAGAGTGTTTGGTGCTACTTATCTGCGGGGTAATGGCTGATTATGATTCGTGGCGGTTAAAGCCGCAAGGAAGCTGCGTCGCTGATGCCGCCTTAGGTTTGCATGATAACCAGCTGTTTGTGCCGGTATGCTGTCGACTCAAAGTGTAGGCTCCCTGACCTTGAATAAATAAATTGTGTATTACTCGACGATGCGAGAAGCTGTTCCCTAAAAGGGCATTAGGGTTTATGCTAGGTCCCTTTCTTCTGTTATTATTCTTTTTTTCGTAGTCTATTGTGGTTGTAAGGCAGCGAGGCATCCGTTTAAATCGCTGATGTAGTGCTGTTGGTCGCGATGTGGCCGGTGGATTGAATGGGTTGGAAATGCTTACGAGTACTGCTAGAGAGGGCAGCGCCGCTCTCCATATCCAAAACATGCAAGTGTACGGCGACCGCTACAAGACACGGTTGAATTTCGATGTGACAGTCGCGGCTGCGCGAGGATTTAAACATCGCCTGGATGTACAAAACAAGAAGAGAGAAAGATTAGAATCTTGAGAACAAGAGTTTTGTTCTGAAAGCGAACTGTACGGAGGTACGGTGCGATAGGGTTAGCAAAATAGACATTATGACATATAGACATATAGACATATATAGACATATAGACATTATGAAGGTGACTAACGGAGCCCAATCTCCAACCTTGCAGGATGAAGAAAATAAGGTTACCTGAAATGTAACTGTTGACCAGTCAGGTGGGAATAGATTAAAAGGGGACCAAAAGACGCCACCCAATACACCCTGGCTGACTGGAGTTGAGTGAAAAGGTTCACGACAGCACTTCGTGCTGCTAGTCCCCTATTTCTAGTAACAAAAGTAGACATATAGTTACCTTGAGCATTGCCTCACTGAGCAGGAAAAGTTCAGTGTGGACCTTCACATTGCTCATCGAGGGGCGTAAATGACATAACATCCGAAGATAGAGTCTCGCTTCTGCAGACTGGGGTGCCTTGAGAATCTCTGTGGATAACTGGAGGGCCAGCTTGTCATGATGTGGATTGTCCTGAGAAAAAGGTTTGAAAATAACAGTTTGAGGCGAATAAGATGGTAAACAGCACGACTTTCGCATGATGGTAAAGAGGGGTGGCGAACCAATGCATATTCCAGTGGTCAATCATCTATCATGCAAAACTACAATGCAGCAGCTTCATAACGATCGATAGTACTGGGAGTAAAACAAACACAAAAACTACCTTTATGCATGGCCACGCAAGGCACACTGACCGTGTTAAAAGCGGAAATATAATGAAGCCAAATGCGTGCAGAGAAATAAAATGGAAAGTTATCGTCCGTTAATGTATCATGGAACGATTAATCAGCAGCCAGGTGTAGGCGCAGCCGTCCACATATTGGGGACTCGCACTCAGTGCATCTGAAACTACGACATTCCGGTACGCTTGCGTAGCGCCTTAGTCAGCATTGGCTCATGTGAACGTAGGACAGTGCCGAGCTGAAGCGTCGAACAACCCTGCATCTGTGTGCTTCGGGTTTAGACCGTTCCAGTAAATGGTTGGACAATGGTTGGCAAGCGTTCTCCTTATAAAAAACCATAAATGTTTTTACACACTGCGACAGGGCGGATGTGATTCTCTGTAAAATAGAGTCACTGCTAATTGCTTCACCCTAGTAAAGCATTTTACCTTAGCAGATGGATGCTATCACTGGGAAGAAGATTGGGCCCCTGTTCGACAACTTACCAAACAAAAGGCGCATGGACTGTGAGGTCGGTCGCCCGCTCCCAGTGGGCGCGATTCCCTGAATTCGCTCCGCTGCCTTACGAATAGACTGTTAAGCCAAAGGATCAGGATGGGTCCCCTAAATCAACTCCCCCTTTCGGCTTGAGCAATCGGGTAGTATCTCGCCACCTAGAAAAGGCAAGGATTACAATGCTACTTGGATGCACTCTCTCATTCTTGTCTCCGTCTCTCACCAACCTCCAACACACACCGACTATTTATCTGTTAACAATCCCTGTTACTCACAATTAATTACAATATCGATTTTGCTGTTGCCCATAAAGTGCGGCCTGAAGCTACTCTTCGACCCTGATGTTCGTTTAGATTAGCAACATGGAATGGTTGGACATTTATGCAGATCGGGTAATACGTAAGTTTGGTACACACTTTGGATCCCCACGTTATTGATGTCTGCTGCTTTTGTGAAACAGCGCTGAAAGACCCAAGCACTGTGCTCAAATTGACATTTCCGACCAACCAGAAAGCAAGGCGGAAGCAGTTGCAGCTGGCTTGGCTGGCGTAGGCATGGCATTAAGCAGCAAAGCCAAAGCCGCACTTATGGATTACGTGCACTTCGGTTTTAAGGATCAGTCATCACGCTGAAAAGCACAATCTTTTTGTGACCTCCGCTTATGCGCCAACGGATTGTAGCTGTGTATCAATCAAGGACGATTTATATCACCAACTTCACTAGCAGCCACGCAAAACCGCCAAATCAGACGTCGCTGTCCTCGCAAGCAACTTCAATGCACGATTAGGTCTCCTGTTACCAGCTGAATTTCACTTCAGTGGTCATCACGCACTGAATGAGTGGCACGAAAAACGGAAATACGCTCCGCCCTGTGCGTGAAGATAACAGTCGATTTCTCGGGAGTACATACCTCAGGCATCCTACGAGGCGTTTCGCTACGTGGCGTCTTCTACAAACATAGCCTTGGCCTTAACCAGTTTCAAAAGGCGAAGTGTCATACAAGACTGTAGATCATACTAGAATACTTAGCTAGACTCATATCATGCAATGATTTGTGCGAACATCTGAATGCAAATCGGAGGACTTTCGAGACGATAACACCGCAGACTGGATACGAACAGGCTAACTTATTAGTTAGCTCAGCTGAACTACCAATTATCACTAGTAAGCACGTTTGACAGTGTTCCGCTCAATGACACCGAACGACATTGGAGATTCGTGCAGCATGTAAGTGAGGCGGACATGTCGCAAATCTATAACGTGCAGAGACGCATGGACAGGTGTACTGAGTACATTCAAGCCAATTCGTAGGTAAATGCGGAGGCAATCACATAGGCAGCACTGCTCTCGAATGAAACAGCATGTGCGAAAATGGGTTCAATGCGAGATTATGTAGCAAACAAGCCAATGTCAGGCGACGTGTGTGCGCAGGCAGACACTTATTGACCATGGGTCACCGAACTGAGATCAACAAAGCGTTTAAGATTCTGCTTCGCCATACTAATTCACGGCTCCTCCGCTTCGCCGAGGCCATTGTCATAAATTGGATTAAACCAGTGCTTGGTGTGCAAAACAATTATCAGTCAGCCTCAGGCTGCCTTGGTTGTAGGAGCAAGACACCCGCTTTTACTCTCGTTTGTTTGCAGAAATATCTACATCCACAAAGTGTTGTAGAAAATTACCGAAATGCATGCATCTGTCGAACATCGTCTTCTCATAGTGCTTTTCAAATTAGTAAAAAGAATTGATTGCTTTGAATCTCAGTTCAGTTGCTCCTCGCTGCCCAAGTTTGCACCTAGTACATCCGGTCGCATTCCAAGCGCAGTGTCACTGGAATAACCCAGCGAAGCGGTTTGTTTTGAGATCCGACACTTGAAGAAATTTTGGGCTGCGGGATCAAACGAACACCCCCAGAACTGTTCAAGTACGGTGGCAAACAGCTGTCAAGCTGTTAACAACCCTGTTCTTGAAGATCTGGCAAGAAAGGCATCCTCATTTTTGGGAGTCAGTAAATTCCCAGTCTTCAAGAAAGGTTCTCGTACTTCATGTGCCCATTACAGAAGGATCAGCATGACAGCGGTGCCCCCAAGATATTAGCATCCATCATGGAGGCTGTTCCAAATGCGTAAGACACAACCGGATGGAGTAGGATGGATTGCGAACCGTTCAGGGACTTGTGCATTAAATATTCACACTTTGTCAGCTCCTTGAACATCGCCATCACTGCCTTCCTGGAGATTCGGGCTGCATTCGACTCAGTAGACCGACATGCCTTATGGATATGCCCGCTAAAGAATAAAGTTCTCGAAAAGTCCGTCGTTATGCTTCGGGCACTATAACTCTATACTTCAGGCGGGGTGAGAGCCAACGGTATAGTTTCTGCACTGCTCCCTGCCACCAGTGGTGTGCATTAAGCATGTCCTATGTCTCCGTTTTTCTTCAGTTTGAGATCGAAGAAGTCCTGTTGGAGGCTTCAGAGCTTTGGTATTGAGTTCCTTCAAGATAATCATGCAACCGGCATAGTTTACGCCAATGATATCGCTTTCCTATCGAACGACCCAGGTGGTATGCAATTGATTCTTGACTGACTAATGATTGAAGCGTCCAGACATGGCACGTGCTCTGCTCCCTTCAAGCGTAAAATATTACAGGATTGGCAGGCATCCCTCCCTCAGTTCACTGACGAAGACATACAGCTCGAACACGCGGATTGTTTTGTCTATCTAGAGGGCTGCATTTTTGCCAAAGGCACTAGTAGAGAGTAGGTATCTCTTCGCATCGCTAAAGATCGGTCGCCTTTTGCTAAACTGTGGCATTTGTGGAGTCGTCGCGAACGTTCGCTCTCATTAAAGAGCAAGGTCTAAAATGTCAGCGTTCGCGCGATACCGCTGTATGAATGTGAATCTTGGCCGATCCGTGTAGATGACATGTGTAGGCCTTTGACATTTGATAGTATGATGACTGAATGCGCAATGATGATGTCAGACACTGCGTTTTGGGAAAGACGGGTCTTCACTTCTGTGATTTTGTTCTGCTGCGGCAATTGAGATGCGTTGACTACGCTTTACGCATGCCTACTGAGCGCTTGCCACACTGCGCCCCAATGCGCTCGGACGACCGCATGGGATAAGACCCGTGGGGGCCAGCTAACCAACCACTTGGTGATAAATCATGGAATTAGTGACATCTTGCCTAGTCATCACCGGTAGATTGCGACTTCCCCGTTGGGGATCCAAAGATGAAGAATGCCAGTGGCTGATAACGCATGAAGCAATAGCGCAAAATCGGTTACAGTAGAAATAATATGCGCACATTTGTGTGAATACCCGATTTCAAGCGCATTAACTCTAGGGAAAGTGCAAAATGGGGTGAGAAAAAGAATGGTGTTTTTTTGTTTGTTTTTCACAATTGGTTTTTGCTTCCGAAGCGCTGTATATATATATATATATATATATATATATATATATATATATATTTCAGGAGAGCCAACAACTAGTTTATTAATCAGCATGAGTCTTAACAACACTCTTCGGTGATCTACAACGGCACCTTACCGCGTAAACATGTTGTCACAAAGTAAACGAAGCCGGTGACAGCGACAAGATGCGACGAGAATGCCCGAGAGAAATGGAAGAAACGCTCTAGTTCTCAAGATTGATGCTTATACATTTGATAAAAAGCAAAAGAACATACCCAAAAGACGACCCCGATCACAACACACACATACAGCTGAGAGCGACTATGGAAAGTGACATAAAATAACAAACAATGAAATCGAAATTACTTTAAATGTGTCCGATCCAGTTGTAGGATTTTGGGGTTCGCCGGGTCCGTCGCGATTCAGAGACCCGGCAGAGACAGCGGCCACATCCTCCTTGGCTGTGAGTAAAGTCTTGTCAGTCAAGTGGGCAAGTAGGGCGGCGACATCGGCCGCTTCAATTTCGGACAATGGAGATGATGCGGGTGCACGGATTAGTGCAGTAAGTGTAGGCAGAACAGCATCGGCCAAAGCACATTGATGTTCAAAGTGAACGGAAGAACCGTCGGATGACAATGTCCCGCAAGCGTAGTCCGTGAAGAAGCATGCTAGGCCACGACGAATGGCTGGACGATCTTCAGTAAGCGGATTGAACCACAGTAAGACAAGTTTGCTGAGCACTAGACCGGAGACAAACCGATCGTAGATGAGTAGCTTCGCTAGACCAAGGGCGCTGGTTGCGCGCAGATCGTCGTCCTGGAACGCGCAAAAGTAGGAAACCGAAAGTCAGGTAACGCCGAGGACGAGAGTGTCAACTGGTGACGTAAAGTCAAAAAGTATGATGGCAGTGAATGGACCAGACGAGTTTATATCAATATAGACACTGCTGAGGGCTAAATAGGACACACCTCGCCATCCAGTAGGGCCACTATGGGCTTCAGTAGACGCGCAGCGGTCTTTGACATCTCTTCACGACGAGTTAAAGTGGTCATCGTGGTAGTGGATCCATTGGCTCCTGGTTCAGTATGGCGATTCAGAACCACATAGGCAGATGCATCTAAACATAAATGAACGAAGAAAAATGGGTTGGTGCGCCATCAGTAAAATAAGCAGAGAAGTGAACAGTCACAAGAACCGCGCGTTAGACGCCCGAAAAGTTTTAAATGCAGATGGAGTCCGTGGCAGACGCACACCAAAGGACTAAGCATGAAGGAAAAGGCATGAAGATAGGGAATGGAGAATGTGGAAGCAAAGAAAAATGAGGCCGAGGATAACGCTTTCGACTCAACAAAAAAGAAACATTAGAATTTCAAGTCGCAGCTGTACGGTGTGGTGTCTTGAAGACATTCTTCCGAGTCAAGTAAGTGCTAAAAAGTAATTGCCACATAACGATTCTGAACCTGCCATGACAGACGACCTATATATTTTCGGAACTACCTTCGACAGTAGCCGCGAGTCAAGGAAAGTTAGTAAGTAAATAAGATGACACCTTGAAGCAGAACGATAATACGGAACTAGCGGTAACAGCTTGGTGCTCTTTACAAATCGACTGAGAACTGACCGCAGACCATATCGATGGTTCTCGCACTGAACAGCGGACGTAAACAAATCTCATTTCGAGTGTGAATGAAACGTACAATCCACAGCAAGACCACGTGCCGCCACCGAAACGGAGGAAGCGAAAGTGCATCCGAATGTTTCAAGGTAGATAACGGCAATTGCGTGTCTGGTGAGATTAACATAGTCCGCTTTGCTTCGAAAGAATATTTACATGAGACATAATAGAAAGCTCGGAAAGAATGCCAAAGCTGATAAATTTGTTTGTAACACCGAGGCAGGAATACCAGGCAGCTGGCTCACAGGAGGAATATTGTTGTTTTTGAAGCAGTTGTGAATGTATGGGACAACCTCCTAAACAAGGTGATCACGAGTAAAGCTGTCCGACAGTCAAACAGTGAAAGTTAAAACGAAAGTGCTCCGATATAGGGCCGACAGGTGTGCGTGTCGCTAGATTCGTTGTGGGGGAATTACAGTGCACGGCCACATTTGAAAGCCCCGCCGTCCCAAAGTGGGCGTACAGCAAGTGTCAAAACTATCCTACATGACACACCTGAAGCGATTCCAGTCAGCCTTCGGCTCACCAACCTCAGGTATCACGGAGAAATAGTGGGCCTGTTCATCGTGAGATTGTTAAACGGCAGATTGCAAGTTCAAGTTAGGCATTTCTTTGAAGCAGGAAGAGTGTGCGCCAACCATGTGCGCATTAGAGCATGGTTGGAATCCAGGCACGTGCTCCAAATGGACCGTCAGTCCTGGACTGATGTGCGCCATCTATAGCTGATGGCAATAGGGTCAATTTGGGTCTAGGTCGTCGAGATATTCAGTGGATGTCAGGTGACACAATGTGAACGTATGCGCTGAAAAGCAGTGCTCCTAAGATAAGGGTTGTGGTCGGCACACAGTTGCAGGAATCCATCACCATGGTCTATTCGGCGTGCATGGACTCCGAGGTGTTGCTGGTCAATCATGTCACCATCAACAAACAGGATGTCAGTATTATTCGCCACGCGGATAAGAGATGAGAGGTGTTGATAGAAATCATCTGTGTTACCATCTAATCCTCAGTAGGTAGCAGCATAATTGGAAGCGAGGAGAAAGCATATTGCCTCCAGAACGTGCTTAGCAACTCTAATATAGGTTCGAAGTCGAATTGCACACGTTCGGCTATTCATTGGTATCCAGTTGAGTAGACTGCTTTTAGCATGTTTGCTGAGGAAAATGCCAACACCGCAAATACTGTGATAGTTTGTGTGCTTGATCTAGCAACTAGACTCCGGCGTGTATGCACCGCTGTAGTGACTCATGTGTGTCGTCTCATTGCACGTGACTACCCGACTGCAAACTGCGTCCATGTCTGACATTCAAGTCACCATGCTAGCCATGTTATATTACTTCTCCAGCCTGTGAGTGTGACCAAATGTCTGAGTGCCACCGAGTGTGTGACCGTTCCGACTACATGCCACTGGTTGAAGTGACTTTGTTTCGCAAATACTGTGTGCGTGAATTTGGTACTTACTTGATGTTACCCTATGTACTCCCGTTGCACCTAAATCCTTTAATAACTTATCCTGCCTACAGTTCTTTGTCGCGTCCCACTTACGAATAATCGTTACTTGCGAGGTGTTAGTCCAATACACTAAGAGAAAGCACATTGCCTCCAGAACATGCTAAGTAACCCTAATAGAGGTTCCAATTCGAGTTGCACACGTTTGGCTATTCACTGATATCCAGTCGAGTAAACTGTTTTCAACATGTTTCCTGAGGGAAATATCAACACCGTAAATACATTGAGCTATTGACTCAGTATCCGCAGAGACGCGAAAAGTAGTCGTTGTCAGCAGATTTGGAGCTGGAGAGTCGAAGGTTCGTCATGACGCTAGTACTTTGCATGCGTGTTTCGGAGACATAGCACACCTAAATACCAAGATTGTGAAGAGTCAGTTATTTCGCCTGTTAGTCGATCTGAGTTAGAGTGCGAACGTTAAACCAACGAATGTGAAATGAGACTCATGGTTTGAGGGACAACCTACATGTATCGATGATAGACGGAGAAGAGAGTAGCAAGGAGAGAAAAACATGGAGTGTTGTTAACAGACCTAGAGACCAGATCGCACTCTCCAGTCGCCCATACCAAGAGAGGTTTTGTTAGAGGTATTGCATAGCCTTTGAGTCAACAGTCTGATCCAAAAAGCAGTGAGGAAAATGGAACGTTGCTTGGGATTCCCCACTCGGAGCCGTTGGCTAACTAGTCTGACAAGCACAAGGCACTAAGAAGTAAGTTCAAATAGGAAAAGATTGCATAGTTCCAGTAGGAGCTACTTAAGACCTGCCACAAGCAATCTTTGGAGAATTAGAACAATTCACGTGCTTGTTGACCGTAGTATGTGACGCACATGCGCCTAAGACCAGCGGCAGGCGGGCGTTGAAAGGCATACACTTATCTGATTAGGGGCAGTGTCCTCAAGCCGACAGACAGAGCGGTGCACGGTTGCTCCATGCCAATTGGGCCGTGAGCTTAGAATACGTCACCGATCTCTCCCAATTTTCCGAAGAGGATGCTGCAAATGAGATGATCTGAACTCTAATCAATGACCTGTCTGGCATGTGTGATTCCGAAGGCACTTGCAAAGTGCTACACAGTATAGCTCAATGGATCACGTATGTACGCAAGTCATCGCACCACGTTACGGTCCAGTCTCGTCGTGAGGTTAAGAAGTCAGTGCACGTGAGATCATTCACACAACGTAGTTAAGTAGATCCAATTGTCTTGGTCCTAGCTCCAATGACGCTACACGTTAGCAGGTGAGCTAAGGAAGACGATCGAAATGGCACATGAGAAATTAAAGCGAGAAGATTTGAAAAAGAAATTGCTAAAGGCATTGAATGAAAGATCTAGTAACAAGACAGAACAATGGAAAGAGTGCCTAGTACCAGTTGTGGCAGTTGGGCACAGCAAAATGCAGTACAGATGCTTCAGATGCACTTACCTAATTCGCAAAGCATGGAATATCGTTTGCAAACTATGACAACCAAGCAAGGGTGGTTATCCCACAATTACGGGGGATTGGTTTGATAGTAGGAAAAACTAACGGGCGAGGAAACGATGTAACCAGAAAAATGATGGAATGTGAAAGTAAGAACTACAGATAAAACGAACCGGACACATCGCTTTCTTCCTCTTCTGTCTCGCCGCTCATTTCGGTACCTTCGTCCATCGGAGTGATACGTGTGTTCGGATGGACTTTGTTGTCATGAAACGGTCGGAAGCCAAATATGACCAAGCAATCCACGATGCATTTCAGCGCCGTCTCGCTTATCATCACATGATCAACCCGCATGGCCTATGAGGTGAAGTGGAGAAACAAATGAAAGCGGAGGAAGGAGGTGAGCAATGCTGTTCAATGACGCGGCAACACGATTCCAAACTATTTCTTCCGCACTTGCAAAAAGTTACAACAGTTGTTCAGTGACAGAATAAGGCCATACCCATCAAACGGCCCGAGTGTAAGAACCGCAAGGTAGAACATGAGGATCGGCTATTTCAAAATAAAGTTTAGCTGACTTGCCGGACCTCACCGTAGTGCCAGATGAAAGGCACGGGATTATCCGGTTCCGGCGAATGACTCGGGGGGGGGGGGGTTCGAATCCGTGTAGGGGCGGGCGCCCTAGCGGCATATTCACCCCACGTGCGTCTGGTGGTGGTCGCACGGCAGCGAAGCGCCATTACGGCGTACAGCTGACACATTATTATTAGTTTGCAAGAACGTGTTGGGTTTTCGCCTGACAAAACGTCCTACATATAAAAAGCCACATATGTCCGTTTAAGAGTATTGTGATGTGGCGGGTGTAACTCGACACCAAATGAAGTCAATGATTCCTGTCTCTCTCTCTCTCTGAGTGGTATTGTAGATCAAGGGTGTATTGGGCACCTGGTGCTTTGCGGACCTAAAGGCATGTCAACCACTCACTCGGTCATTGACATGCAATGAGTTGCGACGCTTTCAAATCTCCCTGCTGCCTTGTAGATTAGATCCTTAATCAAAGGCTCATGGTGGGACCTCCAAATACAAATCCCTGATTCGGCCTAAGCAACCGGGTAGTATCACGTCCACTGCCGAACTCTGGATGGATTACACTAGTGCCTCTGCTATTGCAATGTTAATTGGCTATGTTGTTATTATTACTCAACCCACACTCATAGATCACCCCACATACCGTACTGCAACTATGCTTATCCTTATGTTATCCCCGGTCACCAAAAACAAAGTTCACTGGTCGCATCTGACGGAAGTAACAGTCAAACTCCCGGTGTATGATGCCCGGGTAATCACAGCCTTCTCATGTTCCACCGAGGATAACGATTTTTCCACCAGATTGTCAGCTTGGCATCGCAGCGTTCAATGTTGGTACATTCATGCACTCTTGAGAGGCTCTCGGGAAACATATGTTGTCATTCGGAAAGTACATTGCAAAACTCCAACACCATCAGCAACTTGACCAATCCGGTGGTCCAAGGCTTCAAATACCACTTGCGAAATCACACAGACCAGAGACTGCCGCTTCCGGTCAGCAGTGTTGGAGCTGGACTCAGTGACAGGGCTGAGTTCGCTCTGCTTGACTGGATCCAGTTAACAGTTAATTATGCGCAGTCAGAGTATAATATGCATGTAAGATAAGCAATCATCGAGACGTTAAGTGTGCCTTGTTTGTAGTCACTGTCTACGCCCTTACATAATGCAGTCCAGATGTAGTCAAAGACTGTCTATAGCAAATACATGATCATCTGCGTTTCTCAAAAATGTCTGATATCGGCATTCTTGCCAGAGATTTTAGCGCAAGAGTGAGCCGCATGCTACTAAGGGAGCATCAGCTCGGGGATAGTTTTAGTCCCGATAGCAGTCGATCAGACAATGTAGAGAGACCAATGACTTTTGCTCGGATCATTGCTTGTTTCTTTCGAACAGAAGCTTTCGGCACTCGAAGACAGACTGCTACCTAGCGCCTGCTTGCTTAAACGAAATAGTGGTTCTAGCTTGACCATAGAACAGATGGCGCGGGAGAGTAACAGATTGCCAGTTTCCCTAGTCAAGTAGTCTGGACTACGATTACGCATTTGTTTAACCTAAAGCTTGCATGCACTTCAGAGGATCGTCCAGGCGTACGCACAAACACAGAAAGTCACAAACCCAAGAAACCCTACGACCTTAACTAAGCGCCATGCATCACTATCAACACTGCTTAGCATACCTTCTGACTATGGTTCTAGTTTACAATGAGCGCGCGTCAATTGCGCCTTAGTTTCCTACAGTATCCACAGCTGTAGAGCTGTCCGCCACCCGCCGGACAGCTGGATCACCGCTGTCTCCTTATCGCCGGTGAATAGACGCCACTTGGTTCCAGCCGACGCAAGTTTTAGTGAAGAACGCCGATTGAGAATTGCGCAGGACTTTACGAATAGACTGCAAATCTAGTGGCGTGAACGTGCCAAGGAGATGAAAGCTGCTACTCTCTTTGGGAATATCAGAAAACATTTTCATCTTATCCGCGTCACCGAAGGTATCCCATGTGGTGTAAAAGAAACAATCTGCGAAGTGGACGGCTCATTAAGCACTAATCTGCAACGGTGGTTGAAGCGATCGGTAATTTCTGCTGACCGCCAACTCTATCTGCTTCCTTGGAGCACGCAATGGTGTTGAGTAGTCTATCCCTCCACATCATCCCTTCCACCGAGGAACCTGGCACGAACTCCGACTCTCCCGCTCTACTTATAGATGGTGGCTATTCGCTAGTATGAAAAGGCACCGCTTTGTTATCAGCACTCTGGTCAAAAGAGGAGATTTTATCGCTTTGGAGTGCGTTGATGGTAGTCCCTATCTTCAAAAAGGGCCTGCACACAATGTGCTCCAACCACAGGGCTATAAGTCTGGTTCCCGTCTTCGCAAGTTTCTGGTATCCGTCATACTTCGCAGGCCATCCCTTGCGCGCGAATCGCTACAGCGAGAAGAATAGGCTGGATTCCGCCCTGGTCGCGACTTTATCTATCAAAATTTCACACTCCGCTTTAAATATAAAAAAACTAAGGATTGTTCTGTTTCTGGATATCCGTGCTGCCTTCGATCCTGCCTGTTGAGTAATAAAGTCCTAGAGAAGTTCGTTTCCGTAATGCCCGCAACACATAGTTTGATCTCGGGTACAGTTAGGACTTATGGCAAGCTTTCGTCTTCCTTTGTTGTCACCAGTGGGGTTCCACAAGGATGTCCTATCCCCCATTCCTCCGTAATGCTCGTCTATTCATCAAATGTCCATGCTGTACTATAGTACAATTACAAAACGACTTGTTCGCACAGACTGTCTGTTGTTGAGCACCGTTGTTTGTGATTCATTGCTCGCGTGTGGTGGCTGCACTACGTAAGTAATGTGGAAGTTAGAAAGCACGTCACTCGGTCGACAAGCTCGTCTCACTGTGTCCACAGAGGTGATTTCGATGCATATTGCGCATGCCTGTTCAGTGCTTTATGTGTTGTGTGTTGTTTGCGGTTGCTAGATAGGCATACAGGAGGCGGTGTGGTTGACAGCCTACAAGTTGGAGTAGGGGTGTGAAACGGCTAACGAAACACTTGGCCTCGGTCAGCTGCTCTCGCCTTTCTTGTTTCAACCTTGTTCCTATTCTTCCATGATGCCAATGGTGTATATATATATATATATATATATATATATATATATATATACATATGGTGAGGTTTGAAGGGAAGTGCATGAGTGATTTGACATAAAAAAGGGTCTGCAATAAGTCAAAATGTGCACTATCAAACTGGTGATTAAGGCAATCAACATGACTTACCGAATAGAAGAGCGGCAAGTATTGCAAAGCCAGGGGTAGATCCATGGAGCAACACAGACCTAACGTGAGAATTGCCTGGTTGCGCACCGAAGGATCTTCATGCTGAATGCTCGGGAAAACCTGAAACAAGCGAAGTGAAATGAATGATTAAATGGACCTGTTACACAACGTACAAGAGAAAAGCACACGGGTGAAGGAAGTGAAAAGAAACAAATAAAGTTAGGCACAGATAGGTGACAGAACCAGGTACTGTTGTGGAGAAAATGGTTTGGATAGTGCGGAATACGATCGCTAACCAGAGGTTTGTAAGCGTGGATACAAGTGCCAGTACCCAGGTGTGGAGGAAAATACGTCGTGTACCATAAGACAGCCATTAATGGGGGAGGGTAATAACAATATATATATATATATATATATATATATATATATATAAAGTATGTCTTGAATGAATGATAACTACAGTTACTTAAAGATATGATGACAGGAGGTGGCAAGCCGAATAGATGAGCACCAGAATAATGGTGCCATTACTGACAGCGGCGGTATCGATGACGACAACAAGTCAGAATGTTGCGAGAACTACATACGCTGCCAGACACACGAGCAAGAATTGGTGGCAAGAGTGATGTAACCAGGACACATGGACCCGAGGACAGATGTCTCGGTAGCGCCAGTACTAAGAGTTTGCGAGTGACAAGTACCCGAGCGCATGATCGGTGACAATAGCTTGGTGAATGCGGATATCTGGTTCAACGACGTACATACACTAAGCATACAAAAGTTACGGCCCGCCTGCAAGTCTGAAAGCACCTCAAACCAAAGTGAGGCAGCTTTGGTGGGCGACCGTACCTTCAACTATCAAGTAAAACAACTAATCCGCTGGGCTGATGCAGTGCAATCCCAGAGGCTGTAACATACGGAAAAAGGGGTCACAGAAACTCGAGACGAACGAAGAGACTAAATAAATAGAGTGGAGGACCAACGGTATCGGAGGCTAACAAGCGACAGGGATGCAATGAGAAACAACCAGAGCATGAGTTTGGTGGAGTGTTCATGCAAACGGGATGTGAAATGATCTCCAGACCACTGGACACAGTACAGTGTACAAGAAGAAACCACATACCAGAAGCAGTGCGGAATTCATCATTCCAAAAAAGTGAATTGCATCTGGTCGAGCTAGGTACTAGGTCCCAACCATAAATGAGGCAAGACAAGTTCAGCGGATTAAGGCATGTGGTGTGTAGACCCACTCGCTACTGTTTGAGAACAATCATGCATCTCCGATGCTGGGTGGCGCAAAGTTCAAGTAGAGTGGATGTTGTTGGGCGTACCGCAAAGTAAGACGATGTCCATTTCTACTGCTGATCTTACGCGCTGTTAGATTCAACAGAGTCCTCTAAGTCCATTGGAAGTCATGAATGGTCAATCTCCCCAAATCCCCACTTCGATCGACATCGGCACACACATAAGTGAGCAACATTGAGAGTTCTGAAGCAGAAACACGGTACATAGAGAGTGAAACAAAATGGCTGAACCCAGAGTTATTTGCTTCGAACACGTCTCCGTAAATATCAGCCGGTGAACCGAAGGTAGTAATGGCCATAAACAGTCCGGCTGTGGATGAAAAGTGCGGTTTCAACAGAAGATCGCGTTGGTCTTCCGCTGCTTTGTAACTGTAGGCGGTTGTTCGGCGGTCGGGATAATGCATGAGCGCTAAAACACACGCAGACATCGCAGGCTAGACATTCTGGCCACGACACAATGGAATTGCTTCAGCCCATGAATATCAGACAAACTCATTACACCAGGGCCAAATCGTCACCATCCTGAAGTTAAAAGGAGAGGCTAATGGTAGCAGCCATATAAGTACGACAGATACAAGAGAGCGTTTTATAAGTTGGACAGAGACGTCGGTTAAGCACCAGCAATGACTCGAGCCAGCTTGCTCACCAACCACGTATCTTTTCCGTACAAATTTTCCGGTAGGTGAATGAGACCCAGACTGTATTTAAGAGCAAGTAGTAAAGCTTTTGTACAAAGCTATCAATTTATGAAATAGCAAAAACATTTAATTGTGAATAGTCAGCAGTAGTGTTTGGTCAGTAAACCGTTTACTCTTGTTCGATTAGGATTTCGTATTGGCGTCACTAATTCCGTGTATGGAATGTACTTTTTTCCACTGTATGTGCACCGTTTCCGAAACAATCATCTATAAGTGTTTTAAAACACTGCGCAGAATCGGCCTCTATTAGTCATTCTGGTAATGCATTTCATAAGTTTACGATTCTTCGTTCTATACAAAGCTGATGTGAGACCTTGTTCATGTAGTGGACCCTGAGTTTGTAACGGTGTCCTCGGGTGTTACAGGGTTCCCGCAAGTGAAACATTGGCCGCAGTATGGGGAAGTGATTCAAGTGTAGTGCTGGATAGGTTATAATAAGGTCAATTCTTACTCAGCGGTAGAGTAGTGTGTAGAGTCCGAGCCTTTCACATTTTTCATACGGAAGCTTTCGTAGTCTGGGTGTCATTCTAGTTGCGATGTGATGTATTTTCTCCAGCTTTTCAGTTTCCCGCTGGGTTATCGGGTGGTAAACTGGGGCACCGTATTCAAGGATTGGTCTAATGAGCAAGGTGAATAGGCGAGGGACTGTTTCTTCGGACCATGTGGAGAAACTGCGTCGTAATGCCCAGAGCATACGAAATCCCGCAAGGCAAAACTTCTCTGTAGTTTCAAGTGATCTCATATCAAGTCCCGAGAGCACTCCTAAGTCTCTGACAGATGTATCAGGGTGGAGCAACTGGCCATCCAAGGAGTATGATCGAGTGTCTGGACGTCTGATGATACTGATGAACTCCGACTTGCTTGCGTTAAGAGGAAGTTGCATTTCAGTGGACCACGATGACAGTCGATCTAAGTCATGCTGGAGGCGAGCACAGTCGCGCTGGTTCTCAATGGTCCTCCAGACTTTCAAATCATCTGCAAACAGGGCACATGGTGACTGGAGTTGCTGCGGAAGATCGTTGATATGAATAAGAAATAATACTGGCCCAAGTACAGTTCCTTGAGACACGCCACTGGTCGATGGGAACCAGTCTGTCAGGTAGTCATTGACCTGCACTCTAAACTTTCGTCCCACAATAAACTCGTGTAACCAGTGAAGTAGCGTGCCCACGATTCTGCAGGTCCTCAATTTACCAAAGAGTACCTCGTATGTCGCTCTGTTAAACGTCTTACTAAAGTCGATGTACACCATGTCAACATCCTTCCGTTCGTTGAGAGCTCGTGCCCACTAGTGGTTATCGTACATTAAGTTGGTGATGCAGGATCTCCCTTTCCTAAAGCCGTGTTGCGCTGGTGTCACTACGTCCATGGATTCGAAGAACAACAGCAGACACTTTTTCACAAGGTTCTCGAGAAGTTTGGATAATATCGAAGTCAAACAGATTGGTCTATAGTTCTCTAACTTACTCGGATCCTGACCCTTGGGAAGCGGTCTCCCTATCGAGCATTTCCAGTTGTTGGGGACATATCCTTCAGAGTGCGATTTATTGAATAGGTTTTTCCCAGCTGGTGAGATGACATTTGATAGGGACTTGAGTATTAGTGAGTGAAATCCGCGTGGTCCGGTGGGCTTTGCACCAATGAGGTTGATGAGTAGCTGATACACTTCGACTGCATCACATTGTAGGCTGTCGAGCAACACTGGTACAACCTGTGTCGGCACTGTAACAGCCGCCGATTTACTGGAAACTACGATGAGGAAGTACGTAGCCAAGGGGTCCACGCGCTCCGCACTTGAAATGAGCGCCCGTCCGTCCAAGCTCTCTAAGACCGGTAGATCGCCCCCAGCTTTCAGTTGAGGTTTCAAGTAGGCAAATATTCTCTTAGGAGTGGTTGTGGCCAAGGACGCTAGCTCTTCTTCGAACTGCCGGCGTTGCTTGATGTTGGCGGCGTCACATAAAGTACGCTGCTTCTTGCACACCGTGTTATCTTCATCACCATCCAAGCTTATGTATATATCCCAGTTTGCGACGCCGTCGTGCTGTCTATATTCCGTAGCAAACCAATGCGGTTTGACAGGTCCGACTTTGGAATACTTCCGAAGAACGAACCGCATACACAGCGAGTTAAGCTTCCTCTTCATTAATGACCAACAGGCCTCAAGCGACGTATGCTGTGCTAGTGCCCAATCAGTCTGACTTGCGGCTTGGACGAGCCCGTTGAAGTCGGTCTTCCAATAGTTGAATGCCAGATTCCGTTGGTTGTAATACGGTAACGGCAGTTCTGTGCTTGCCACAATGGAGCAGTGGTCACTCTTCGCCATAGATTCGAGGACTCTGATCTCTTTCAGCTTCTACTCGCAGCTCATAAGCAGTAGGTCTAGACAAGATGCCGAGTGGGGTTACATACGTCGGTCGGATGACAAGTTGTGTTGCCCGATTTTAATAGTCATTTTAGTGAATTGAGCCTCAACGTCGCCATGACCGGGAAGAAGCCGAACGTCTGGCCAGACTATCTTAGGCAACTTTAGATCTCCCTTCAGTAAGAACTGAGGGCGGCTCATGTGCAGCTCTGTATGTGGTAAGCAATCGCAACAACGGTTTAATGGGCTACGGTAGATAAGACCCACTATTAGTTTTGCGTGCCTGAGGCGGATTGTGCACCACAATTGCTCGCAGAATTTAGCCTCGCTCCGACAGGTGCCAGATAGTGACGATTTTATGTACAACAGAACACCACCATGATCCTTTGATTTTCGATCGCATCGGAAACAAGAGTATCCTGACAACACGACTTCTTGGGGTATGACGTCGGAGTTTAGCCAAGTCTCTGCAAGTCCTAAAATGTCCGGCCGCTCCGAAACAGCGAAGCGACACAGTTCGTCACGTTTGTTCATTAGGCTGCACATGTTGGCGAATGCCACACGGAGGTCCTGAAAGGTACCGCGGGACGGGCCTGGAGGTTGAGCAACCAGTTGATACGGGTTCGTACACCCTTCTTGTTCGCGCGAAAATTTACAATTTGGAAGTCAGTCTCACCTTCCTCTGTACGGCGTTTGAGCTCAATGACCGCGGTCTTCCAACAATCCCTGTCTTCGGGTTCCAAATCTCGGCAGATG